CAGGGCGACGCACCGCTTCGCGAAGGCCGCCAACCCCGCTAACAAGCCGCCCTCATGAATAACACAGCAAAAGAACGGCTGATTACTTGCGCACGGCGACCACGACACTCCACGGGCACGCAAGGTGTCTGGAAAGCGGCTGGGGCGCCCCGCAACACAGCGGAAAGGCCAAAAGAAGATGGACGTGGCGAACAGACCTCTTGTTCAAGCAACTCAAATGCATTTTCGAAAGAAACTGGATGACGGATGCTCCAACAGCAAGCGCCGATTTCAAAAACATTCGGTACATATACGACCTGCATGGTTTTATATTTGTCCTTCACGGGAGTCAAATTCAACAGAAAACAAGGTGTTGAAGACATCTCGGTGAGATATCTACCATACATTTGGAGAACATTGAAGTTCTTGGAGAACATTTACATCTATTGTAAGAAGTTTGTAATGTAATTGTTAATGTCAATTTAGGATAATATAAATATACCTCGATTTCCTTTCATTACACGGAGGATTCACGAGCATTTTCATGAAAGGTAAATAGAGTTATGTTGAAATAAAATACTGTGTCAATCACGGTGTCTCACCATAAGTTGAGTTATGCTGTCCGTCCGGATACTAAAACTCGTTCACATACCTGCAACAAAAAGATATACATTATATAAAGCGAATATATATCATTAAGATATTTATTTCCGAGAACTCTTTATCATCTTCTCAATACTTCTTTTGACAGATTTTCAAGTGGATAGACGTGCTTCTTAGAACTCTTTAGAGCTAAATATTCCGTAGAATGAGTAATAACAAAAATTAAACACTATTCAGACATGTATCCTATTTGTAAAATAATGAACATACGGAACAAGTGTTAATGCAGTTAAGTATATGGTATTGGCGGATATTTGATTTGATATTTCATTAGCAATAATAAATTCCCGAAAACAGATGCGATTATTAAAGAGAAACGTATTGAGGTAAAGGTATTTGTAATTTTTTCTTCTAGAGCCAGCTTCAGGGGATGCCGATTTCGACTCTCTGCGGCGGGTCCCCACCATGTCCCATGCAGGGACACATTGACCTTCACACTAGATACACTAGCGGGTCTGCGGTCAACAGGCTCACAAGGTCTTCCGCGACATCACACACACATTAAGGGCAAGGGACAAACAACCACGTCCACGCGGGACTCAAACCCGCCACCCTCCGGACCGAGGAGCTAAGTCCGCATGTCTAGCTACCTCGGCCAGACAGGTCAGCTCTTTCTCCCAGTACCATTTATTTATATTTTTATTTTTTAATCTATTTCCTCTTTAACTTCACAAAATAATTGTTATATCGATATCGAAATTTCGATAGAGCAGAGTGCGATCTCCGAGATTTCTAGCATCAAGAGATTAATATGAATGGATGATAATAGTCGCATTGGAGGCACACATTTAGATAACTACATGGCGCTGACATGACAGACGAGGTGCAATCAAACGTACTTTCTCGTTTTATCTCACATCAACAAATTCGATCGAAACAACACGAACATACAGGCATGGAAACAATATGAGACATGAAGTCATCAAGTGCCTACATATTGTCGCAAAGTAATGAAGGATAAAACATACGTGAATAAAGCCTATCGTGATGGGTAGGAAATAATAGTAGTTTGTGACTTAGAACTTTGTTTACGGAGAGTAGTTACTTCACATTGATTTATTACAGCATTATTGCCAACAAACGCTCAGACCTCTCTCAAATCCACGCACCATCACTGGCACGTATGCACGTAGTATTGATTGCACGCTCTGTCACTAAAGGGTGTAGACAAAAAAAGAGTGGGACAGAAAATAGAATAAGAAGAGGGAGCTAATCGAATGGCAATCAAACGACGAGGAAGAATAATAATATTAACTAGAACATCAAAAACAAAGATCGTCATATCGATTACTGACAAGTTAGTTGTTTTTCATAAAAGAAATGATTTATGGCACTAAATGGCACCAATTACACCGCGGAGCTATTTGGTGACGCCAGAAGTCAACGCTTACTTAAAATTACAATCCCCAAACAGGAAACAAAAAATTTTAGGAATGTTTACTAACTGCCATATCAGAGAATGTGTTTCTCTGGATTATATCGTGCGTTGTCTCAGCGTTCTGGGACCCGGCATCTGATACGTTCACAATATCACAATCTCCCCGGGAACATATTTGGTGCAGAGGCAATTGAATTGCCGGTTTTATTGCGCGCGTTAAGATAAAACATTACCACGAGTGTCGTTTTTGTTTACTTCGAGGAAATTCCTAGTTTTGAGGAAAGTTCTTACTTCGAGGTGTGTGAGTCAATTGAACACGTGTACAAGAGAGTGGGAACAGTACATTAATTGTAACAATAAATCTATAAAGTGGTAAGCCCCAACATACAATGTTTGTTGTTGTTTTTTTTACTTTCTTGAAGATTAGATTTGTGATTGTATTAGGTCAACCAAAAGTATGTAATAGTAATAATAATAATAATAATAATAATAATAATAATAATAATAATAATAATAATAATAATATTGTTGAAACCCCACTGATATTTTAATAAAATCCGAAATATTTATGAAATATATAATTTTATTTTGATTTACTGTCACTCAACAATCTCCCTATTGAAAATGAAAACATTTTCATCAATGACAATTTATTTCATTTCGAAATGCATTGCGGTTTGTTTTTGTGTTGGAAGAGAGTGCGACTCTTCACAGCAGTCATTTATTCGGCGGTGTCTGGATCCTCGTAGCCCTTGACTGCCCGCGCCGGAACGCTGCGGCGTGGCCTTCTAATTAATAGCCTTACAATAGATACGAGAACATCAGTAGTTGTGACGCAACACATAACGTAATGACCCACATACGGATACTCCCACACACTCAGTACATGCACGACATTCAGAAAACTGAATCGAATGTGAAGATGCGAACTGTAAAAGAGTAATACATTTTACTGCTACCTCAAAACAGCTGTCCTTCGCAAGGTCAATTGCTCCTTTTTGCCCCAATATTTCCAGATCAAGACGAAGTTGAAGTTGATGACTATTTAAAACGAAAATGTAAAACTGGAAATATTTTAGCACGTAAGACCACGAGAGCGATCACTAGCTTCATTTTAGGATCAAGTGTAGACTGTTAGTTTATTCTGCCTCTTATGCTATTAAATCACGTTTGGGCTCCAGTTTACAAACGTTTTAAAACTTTATTATTTTATGTGTCAATTTTAATACGGAACAGTTAAGAAGATGAATCTAGCCCCCTCTTCATGCTTTCATTCTAAGTCACTAGCACGAACGGAATAAAAAGCTTTGCAACATACTTCCCTGATTTCATTTACCTCATATCGCCGGAACTGTAAGCTTCCAGACAATTGACTTGCAGAAAGAACAATTTATTTTCAAACACATGCACGGTATCAAGGGTATTATACTACTTCCTCGGAGATATGAGACAGATCAATTCTTTTATCAACTTAACACAGATTCCCGAATGAAGGAACCCAGACAGGGGCTACTAATATTAAAAACACAAATCTCTAAGAACTGCTAAAAAATCCAACATAAAAATAACTTATTTACTCATTCCATCTTTCGTTTGTTTGTCAAATATTTTGATATTAAAAGTATGAGTAATAAGACATTGTATGGGGTACTGAATATCGCTACCTTGAAAAATATGAACAGTAAACGCAAAAACTTCAAAATAAACTTCCCTGAATTGATTTATAACCAGAAAATTGAAAAGGATCGCTTGCACAAATTTGGTCCGTCCTAGGGAAATTAAGGAATTCCATATTCTGCTTAGCCCACCTTCAGAACGATTCGCATCGAATGAGGAAAGGGCTCGATCCGCATTTTGTTTGTGAGTAAATTTATTTGTTACGTGGTCAAGAGAAAAAAAGGTTTCCCAATTCATTGGCTAAACCTGCAAAGTCTGCGATGAAACCTGCGAATCCATTGAAGAGGAGGCGGGGGCGAGGTCTTTGTCTACTGCCCGCAGAACGACTACAACTAATGTTTTAGAAATCAATGGCACCGAATCTCTTCACATTCAAACGCAACCACGGTTAAACATGTAAGCTAGAGCTCGTCTGGACGTTAAGTAACGAAAACGAACTTGGCAGACACGGCCTGGAGTGAAAGCCACTTTACATCCGACCGCCAAACACGTGTCCTCTCCCGAGCAGCGGCGTCGTAACGCGTGTAATACTTGCGGAGAGGAGAGATGACTTATTTGTTGTGTTTCGCGTCAGAACCTTACGGCGCAGGCGGTTTAAAACTTGCACCAGCAGGCGGCGCGCAGGTGGCCGCGCCCCTCGGCCCCCCCTCTACCTCCCTACTTACAGCTCGAGGATGACTTAATTAAGAGCAGAGGCGGACTTTTTGCGGTCGCTGTGAAAACTTCGGGAAGGTCAGGAGCCCCGCTCGGGAATGGCGGTCCGGCCCCTGATCCCGCCGCAGCAGCAGCAGCAGCAGGCCTGCATAACTGGGTTCCAGAATTCATGTCGCCTACTTCGCACTTCTTGCGCTCGGCGCGCCGGGGCGGCCCGCTGCGTCAGCGTTCTCTCGCTCGGCGGCGGTGGGCGGGTCGCGGGAGGGGCACGGGGGTCGATTAAGGCGTGGGCTTTGGGAGACTGAAACTCTAGAGCCTCGGGAGGGTGAAATGTCTCCAACGAGAAAGCCTTAAAGAACCTATAAGATAAAATAAAAAACAGTCAATACCGCGACAATTCGGCACGAGTCACATAATTCTCGGTTAGCTTAGGTTTGATGAGAAAATATTAACATATAAAGGTGGAATGTGTAAATATAAAATCATTCATGACAAAGTATTCAATATTTTAACATTTTCAGGGGAAGCAGGCTCTCGTATTTCCAAAACTGAAGGTTGCAGCACTCAGGCGCACACGTCTCCATCCCATTGTAAAGGTGGGTGACATTATTCTGAAGCCGGGGAAGAAAACAGGCGCGAAGGAGAGCAGATGGAGACTAATGGTGAGCGCCGTGAAGAAGAGTGGGCCGATGATGAGATTGCGTGGGTGTGAATACCCTCCTTAATGAAACTGCGTGATTGACAGTTGTTTACACCGAGATTACCGTGGAAACTAGTAATAAAGAGTTGGGTGCCAGCATTATTCGATATCTACTCAGCGAAATTATTTGCATGCACTTGATACCACCGGTCCTTTCGAACAGACGAGCTCTGTTCCGGCACCACAGCAGAGACATTTTAATGTGGCACTCAAGTCAGTCCTTCTATCTCTCATTTTCCAATATTTACGCTCGTTAAATCAGTAATGACGTCAGGAATAAAAACGTATTACGAGGTTGGAATGATTGAGTGGGCATGAGCGTAAATAGTTGATGAACCTTTAGAAAGAAAGTAACGCGACGAGGTTTGCAGGAAGAAATGTATTTGCAGATAAAAGGAACTGCCAAACAGAGAAATTGAGAAAATACAACTAAAAATGGCAAAGGAAAAGGTCCGACAAGAAAGTAACAGGTCAACGGCAGCGCTTCAAATTGTTCTTGGCGTAGCCGTAAAACATGAAATTACAATAACATCCTCATTTTTTTATGTTCGTAACACACTATTTTTAAAAAATCTTGGAAATATTACAATACTTCAATTAGCGGAAAGGAATAGTCACTATTTCCTCAGGATAAGTCCGTAAAGGCAGGAGGTCTGTAGTTCTGCCTAAATTTGTGGATTCACCGTTAGGCTTCCTGGCAGAAGTGACTGATCTATTAATATCGTAATCAACATCACGCTTCCAGCAAAAACGAAAATCAGAATTTACACCCACATCTGTCGTATCCTTTCACGAAGAACAAGCAACATTTGGGAAAAAGGCTTCGTGTGAATTCATGAGGAAAATCGTGCATGTATGTTTGTCCAGCACCCGAAACAATTTCTCGGTCTGCCAATGCTTCGAGGCAAGTGGACTTTTGTCAGAGATGTTCCAAAACGGCATGACAAGTGGGCCGACGTTCAATCCACAAAGCTGAGCTTAGAGCAGAGGAGGGAAAGGCAAGTTGCAAAGCTTCCTGCCCGCGCCGCCCCGCTTCGCGCCCCGAGGGGGCTGTTTCGCATCCAGGGCCTCCAGCGAGACGCCCGTCCATTCGCTTCCGCCGTAGTTCAAGGTGGAAGGCGTACACGGCTGTAATGGAAGCGGAATTCGCGTCCGGAAGAAATGTACGACCGCGGTGCGCTTTGTCGTTGTCGTGAATATTCCCTTTGCATTTGTTTTTGTTTGATATATTGTTCTACGGGGTTATAAGAAAATAATTATGTTGAATAATAAAGAGTCATTTACATACCTATGTATGAATACATTTCATATTTGACCGACACCCCAAGGGACGAACCTAAAAAGCAATGCCATATGGCTGAAGATACTGGTGAATGGATGGTCGTGGGTTCAATGTCGGCCACTTAGGTGATGTGCTTAACATCGGCGAGTTTGTGGCACCTGCCGGAATCAATTTCGTAGGCTGGCTGCTGAGTGGTTACTAGTTTCCTTGATCACTTCCCGACGAATGCCGCAGTAGCACATTATACACCAGAGGCCTTGGCGAGCGGGATCTTTCCTTTCCCTTCGCTTGATCATCTCGCCACGACGCTGCCGGATCGTCAACCCTAGCTAGGTACCTAGATCGAATTCACCCGCTCTCTGGAGGAGAAATCTAAAGGCCGGCTGCTCTGATGCATGCCGGAGCAGTGCTCTGACAAACAGGCCAAAAATCGCTCTCTTCCTTGTCCTATCCTCACCCCTTGCGGACACACACGTGCACTACATTGCCACACATTCCGTGAGCTTAGAGGTTGTTCCGGCTAGAGTGGTGGCCCGTTGTCACGTGGATGGAGGAAACTCCGCCAATCGACGTGCAGGTCATCGTGGGATCTCGCCATCCAGCGGGGGAAGGACACTGCCACCGCCCGTGATAAAAATACACTACAATTACGGGAGTAATGACCATAGTTGATGCGACAGGAAACAAACAATAGTCAATCATCTCCCCCAGTTCCAATTCAAGCATCAAGGGGGCACCTGCGGGGCTAACGCTAGGAAAATTAGAAGAAAATGTTTTGATTAAAAAAGAAAACAGCTGTTTATAAGGAGCAATTAAAAGGTAATATAAAGAATGCGCTTACAGCAAAAAACTTCATGTTCATCACAGTTAGAAAACATTGTACTCTTCAGGGAAATATTTTAATAAACAATAAAGGCGCCTAAAATGGTTTCCCACTAACATGGGAACATAAGGTGTCATAAAATTCCACAGCGAAGAATACAGTACCGAAGTAAAACTAAATTAAATATGAAGACAATGGCATACTTGTCTCAAAACGTTACTGTTATAATTTAAGTTTCGAGGAAGATACCAATATTTGCAATTAATTCTTGTGTTGTGCAAGAAATACCAACACAATTAAACGAAGTTGCAGAGCAAACACGAAAATATTTCACTGGCCATGTAAAAAGAAGAATCACTCCTACACAAAACATAACACAAACTGTAAACGCCTCAAACAGACGCACGGCCGATAACCGTGTGACGGCACCGTTTGTTTAAGGACGCCTGTCGGCCGCGTTAATTTTTAGTGCGCTCGGTGAGATAGAGGCGCGTTAGCCGCCTGTTGGCTGATCCGAGAGCGCGGCGGAGCGCGGCGCCGCGCTGTTTACTCGCCGTTTTACGAGCGCTGGCTCCGTAAACGCGCGTTTATCTGCATCACAATGGGCGCACCGCCCGCAACGAGCGCCCGCGCGCGCGAACGGCCGGGGGTCGCACGCGCCGCCCGCGCCTCCGCCTCGGTTCCCGCGTTGCGGTTCAGTCTCGGGTTTCGAAACGTCGGGATGGAACGCGAGGAATCATCGGGGATAAATGGGAACGTGGAAATAAGGAGACCAATAGACGTGCGTCGAGATAGCTCAATCATGTATTGCTATGGACTTCCGTTTGGTGGTCATTCGATCAGAAAATAAACTGGCATTAATAGAAAACGAAGTACTCGGTTGAAAAAATGGATCTTGTTTGATCACAATATACTTCTGAGTTTTAATTTTCCTTAATAGTGTAAAAGCATTGATTCATCAATTGCGTATATTCGTTAGTTTGCCTTCTGAACTTTAGTTCACTTAAGGAACGCCAGAAGATCAATATATCGAGTTACAGCTTGTCCTTTTAACACCTCGTTGTTCCCCTCAAATGCATAAAGCTCGCATTGCTCGTGTCAGAGGCGCTACACAAAGGCCCCTTCCGAGTCCTGAGGACGAGCGTGTCCCCACCTGCTATTAATGCGCCGTGTTACTGATATTCTTCACCAGATGGGCTGGATGGGGAGGGGAGAACGCGTGTTCGCATAGGGAGAGGGGAGACTCGTTGGCGCCAAGATCCTTATGTATCCATTCACGCTGAACTAATACGATTTTCAGTAACCTACTATCACGATGTCAATGACAAGCAAAAGAATGAAATAATGCAGACATTTTGCGTAATAATCTAATATTAATGAAATACTCACGTTTTGATTCCCCATTTCACTACAATAAAATATAGGTCGATTCCCGTATTTTTGACGATCGCTACAACGAAACAAAATCGTTCGTAGGACGACTGCAATCTATGTAACACGCACAACTTGCAACAGTATGTGGATTTACCGGTTCTCGCTCAGGTGTTGAAAATCAGTATGGATTCATGATATTGTTTATTGGATCTAATTCTTGCCGAGCTCGATTATTGTGCCCAACTTTCCTAAAACGATTCCGCAAAGCTCATTTTCAACTTTAATAAATATTTCGAAAATTGTCAGAACATTTAATAGTAAATTATCTTGAAAGGTTTGCCCTATTTGTAAATAATGAATACTACATTTAATGTCTGAACAAACACACCGCCTTCGACCGCACCGACATACAACCTAATAAGTAAACCCACGTCACCTTATTTATAGCTCGTACGTTGGTAATTAGTTGTTAATTCAAACGGTTTGCTAATTTGATTTTTAAGCACATGACAAACTTCTTTACTTATGCACGCGCTCGTGAATGAATGGAGGAAAAAAATTAAAAACACGATTCATAAAAGCGCACATCTTGTTAATAATATATCACATGTGCGTCTATCATAGATAATAATACTAAACATGTGAATCTGATTACTTTCAAAACAATGCTAAACCGAATAATTACATATCATTTCAATCTCTGATATCAGTTGGACAATGATGTAGCTGCATGTACTAAGCACAATTTCATCGGCAGCTCATTAATCAATCTTAACCGCAATTTCATCACTTTGTCACATCCCATTTGACTCGCTAAGCAAAACTCGAGTATGGAGTATAAATCATGAAGGCCGTAAAATACATATTTTCCAATATTACAACGTTGTTGTCATGTGTCACGGTGTACAAGACTTCGTCGAAATTATCTTTCTCTTGTTTGCCGCTTGGGAGCATTCCATTTGATAGCAAAAGAATAACCACGTAGCAAAAGCCAAACGTTACACACAAAGGCACAATGGAATGATACAATAGCTATTTACGAAAAATCATCGTAAGACATCATATATGACATTTGAAAATTACCAAATTACCCTGTTAAGGAGTGACTATATTTTAAAATCGTATTGCAATTTTTTCGTAAAATAAAAATTTTGAAAATGTTATGTTACGTCAGAACAACTCGCTTGCTGCGACGTCGCCACAAGCGGGCCACCAGACGGAGCACCAAGAAGAGTACGGAGAAGTTTTATAACCCGTAGGTGATGAAGAGGTACTGTAGTTGCAACCTATTATAGACTCTGAAGAGGCACCTTTAACTTTACGAACGAAATAAAGTCAAGAAATTTACGTAAATTGATGCATTTTTTAATTGAATGAAACGTATAGAATTCGAATATTTTATCTGTGCGATGCGTAACATATACTTACGTAGTCTTATAGAGATATCAACAGACAGGTTAATCATGATTAGTGACGTTTTCTAGAGTAACTAAAGCTGGCATATGTTATATTTGTTGGAGAAACATGACATACTGATATCGTGCTAATTCTCTCTTTGGCCTTAGTATTGACAGCATTTATTTACTTGTACGCAATTCGAGATGGAGTTTTTATTTACACGTCAGCGTAACGTGTCGCACACAAAGAGACATGCATGACGTTATTCATCGAGGAGAAAAAGTCATGATGTAATGATCTGTGCCTTAAAATAATTTTATTAACGGATTAGTTAACGGAAGAAAGTCGTTTATAATGACGGGATATAAAAACATTTTATTTACGCACTCATTCTATTAATAATGTGGTAACTTCAATATATTACACTTTTTAGTACTTATAACAACGATGAAAGTAACCTATGTGACTTTGCATTTTGGTTCCTAAGTTACACCAAGGAGTTGTTTTTGCGTCTACTTCAACGGTTTGATCCAAGGTATCTATTGGAACCGAATATCCGGAAATGAAGAAGCCCTGGGCAGTACCAAATGCGACAAATGAAATATTCGCATTTAAAATTTGCTCTAAGCGGACAAACGGATAAATAAAATCAATGTACGCCGTGTGCATAAACATGGAGAAATTCCACGCGTTGCTTCCGAATCAGTGTCGGGCGCTCGTTGCCAGCCAGCCATTAATAGCCCGGTGGCCGCGTGGCGTACAATGTTGGGCTTTGCAGCTCAGCCGGGCTCTCCAGCGCGTCGTTTGGGCTCGCAGCGCCCCCGTCGATAATAATCCGCGGCCCCTGACCGCAGCCACGGCCCCCCACAGGCGCGCGCCGGGCCCGGGGGCCGGGGCCGGGGGCCGGGGGCCGGGGCCGCGGGCCGGGCAGGGGGCCGGGGCGAGGGCGGCGGCGAGCCGCAACGGGCGGACGCCGCCGCCGCATCGCACGCTAGCGACGAAGCCATCGAAATTCGTACATCTCCCAACAGAAGTCCTCTAGACGCAAGTAATGAGGGAATGCTCGTTCATGCCACTAATATATTTAGTAGATTCAGAGCGTATTCATGTCAGTAGTGCGCTTTTAACATACCATGATATTTCGAAGTAATCGTTCACTGAAATTTTGGAATATATTATCAAAAACTCGCATCACTTCGACAATAACAACTTCATATTTTAACATTTTCGGAAGCAAGAAATAAAAATTTGCTGTAATATTTCAAAACACATGTATTTGCATGTAATTATAATTTAGAGAAATCCACTTCACAGTCCAGTTAATTCTCTCTCTTTCCAACGATGCCCTACATAATTTTTGTAATTTGGTTTTTCAACTTTGAAGACAATTGGAATATGCAAATGCAATTCATCGCTCGAAAGTAATTCCTGATGACTAGCTGCTTTCCACGCCGCTTCGCTCCCATTCACGTGACGCGCGCGTTGGCGAAGCATTTAGTCCTCTCGTATTTCCGAATGACGGCTCATTAGAGCTGCCGGCGCACGGCGTTGCTTTGAGGCCGTTCGTGCGCTCTCCGGGGCGGAACGCATCGACTGGCGCAGTGACAGGCGCGGTTACGAAACGAGCGCGGCCTAAGCGTGCACCCCGCGGGCTTCGAGCGGCAGGTGGGGCCGGGTGGCGAGCTGGGGCGAGCAGCGAGCCTACGAAAGGGCCTTGCGAATAGATTGAACAAAGTAACAATACACCAATATCAAATCGTAAGTATCGACACTTCCCATGTCGATTTATAACATTTTAACATGCTGGAAATGATATGCTTAATGTGCATCAGAGAAAAACTGTTTCCGATTGTTCAAAATAAATGATAAATCGTCAAAATAGAATCATCTTCCATATCATCAACTTTATTCTTCATTTCGAACAAGTGCAGGAGGGAGTTGAAATCTCTCGTCAGCAGAGCAACTGTGATGATGTATCCTTAGACCGTGAAATGGAGCTCCTCAAAAGCATATTTATATCTAACAGGTTGTGCTAACGCTGCCCACCAAGCCGTACAGTACGCAGCGACCGCCTCTTGCACTGCTAGCACTGCTAAAAACCTAGAGACGATGCCAACCACAAAATAGTCTTTTTACGATATATACAAGGAGTCACTGACAAAAATTGCAAGGTTTTGAGTCGCTTCGAAATAGACTGGCTACAATGCTCATGAAAAACTAATTTATTATGCTTTAAAGACTGCGCCCCACCTGTTTTATCTTCACGAGTCCCATGTAGTGGCGGCCACAGCTACATCGGCGTCATTACAAATGCAATAATGTCAATAAATAGGCCATAGATCCCTAATCAAGAAAAACGGGCCTCGCCTCACTTTTGAAAAACACCTGCCTCCTGGCCAGAGTAGGGCGCTGCGGACCAACGAGGGTAAACGAGTGTATTGAAACGACCAAACATCCCCAAAACCCTAGCGCCGACCAAGGCTACCTCTCCACGAACATTTCCCCGATACGTCCAGTGGCGTCTGGCGCAGCGCGGCCCCCGCTTTCTCCGCTGTGGTTGATCAACCACTCTCCAGATGGAGGGGAGCGTCGTTTTATATACGCCCATGCGCAGTCCACCCCCGCGCATTTCGCCCTGAGGAAGGTCGGAGTGTGATGGCCGAAACGTTGGCATCTGAGCCTACGACGCCGCGTCTTACGGACACCCAAGAACACATTGACTCCAGACGCCGAAACGTACGGTTTCATCAGAACATAGCAGTCTCCGTTGTTCAGCGTACCAGAGCCAACTGCTCAAAACGGAGAGTAAATAATATTCACTCTCGCATACTCAAAGATAAATGAACTAACTTTACTCTCCTGCGCCTTCCAAGCTTTAAGAGAAAACACAAAATGCAGTTACTTTCAAGGTACCCTGCCAACGTGCACGTTGCGCGGGCGGGCGCGGGCGGGCGAGCTTGCAGCCAGGGAGGCGCGGGCGAGAGGGCCGGGTAATTGGGAAGGCTGGGCAGTGACAGCGTATGTGAGCTCCTGTCAGTGACCCCCGACTCCGCGCGGCGCAGGCGGGGGACGTGCAGACGGGCGGCGAATAATTTCGCGTTTCAACTTGCCCACCCTCGAGGCCCGAAACGTTCCGCGTCAATAACAAACTCAGAAATATGGTTTGGAGGTTGCGATTATATCTGTTAAAAATGTATTGATATCTGATAATTTAATAGCAAAGTTCAGTCTTTCCGATGTAACATGAGAGAACTTTTTTGCTGTCGCTACAATTTCCACGTTTCCCATATTTCATTTTGTGTAAGTTAATAAACGTTCATTCACATTCTCAAATAAACATGGCGTTCACGTCACTGTCGTTATTTATCCTCTAATCATTCCGGTTTTAATCCCAAATTAATACATTTGAAGGGAGAAAAATTTTTACGCGGCTCTGTAATATATCAATGATTATGCAAATAAAACCACAATCATGTGATATTGTGTCCCATCCGTCCTCCCAGTCTGATGCCAGGCAAGGAGGAACATCGGCCAGAGTTCTCCTTCGTTCTACAACCAAGAGTATACAAGCATAGAACCGAAACAGCTATTCAGTTAATGAGAAAAGACTTCAATGAGTGCAGAGTCCCAGGTGCCACTTCTAAAATTGGGAGGAAGTAAAAACGAAGGCGAGTTTCTGAAAGCGTACCCCTTGCTGGGAACCTTTTGTAAACACGTCTGCTTCACGTTACTAAAGCGAGAAGATGTGTTCTTAGAACATCCCCGATGTTGAGATGCATAGCACTGAGAAAAAATTAATCTGCAAAACGGAAGTAACTATAGTGATGTTTTAAGTAGTACTTTTTTAGGTATTCTTCTTACAATTTACTCAGATGCGAAACGAATAAACGCGTCTGTCGGAAATTGTCATTCTAGCAATTTTTTTTCAACAGATCATTCGTGAAAACATCTCGAAAAGTTCAAATATTCAAACACTAAGAAATATTTTAAAATGCAATTGTGCTATCAACGACAGAGTGCTATAAACGATTCTGTTTCGTAAATTTTAGACAATGCACTCATCTAGAAAACTTAATAGATAGAACTTATAATCAGCAAATGTTTCAGAATATAATTTCTGGAATTTGTAGTAGACAAGAAAGACTAGAGATAAAGATTCATAGACAAATTTTATTTTATATTTTAATAATGATAATTATTCATCGTACCAATGAACAATATGTAAGAAGACACATGTTTAGCTTCCTATGAATGCTTAGATGAAGACGAGAGGTAGTGGAAGAAATATATTAAGAGTGGGAAATTAAAGAGCAAGACGCGAGAGAAATAATACGTGTGAAGAAACGATTAATGAAAGAAAATAAAAAAGATATTATTTGATATTTATTATTATATAGATAAATATTATAGATATTATATGATAAAGTAAGAAAGTGGAGTGGACAGGCGAGGGGAACAACTTGTGAGGAAAGGAGCAGTGAGGAGAATAGTCAAAAAGGAAGAAGGGGCAGGCGCGGAGGGGGCCAGAGGCCTGGCGGGAGGGGCTGCCCGGCGAGAAGTCGCGGCGCTCATTACCCGCGGGGCGCGGAGGCGGCAACGACGACCGCCGGAGCAGCCCGATGAGGCGGCGCGGCCTGCGGGCAGCGGCCGCTCGGCCACGCGCAAGAACGCGCAATTGCCGCCGCTGCCAGTGACGGGCTTTCCGACAAGAGCCCAGTCGGAGGGGGTGCTTCGTTATGCCTTTCTTTGGTAAGGCCAACGCCTTGGACATTCTTAGAAAAATATATTAATTTGAAGGCTCTGGATACTCCTCGAAAAAGTACGCTTCTACATATCCGCTTTTCTACATTTAAATGATTGTCTGACAATTAAGCTGAAGTTAATTCAATGTTTACACAATAATTTACATGGAAAATGTTTTTTGTTTACTGCTCTAACTGTTATAAAATGTAAATATTTTGATCTAAAAAGGAGCTTCGTTAATATTTGATTTCAAATGTTAATTTGCGAACGAAATTAAAACTGTTCCAGATTCCAGAGCGTTGGCGTAAAAACACGTTTCCCCACTCGTATTATGCTTGAGAAGAAACCAGACATCGAAGGAACAGATTCACGGCCCAGAACCGAGGCCACTGAGAAACAAAAGCGCCTGGTAAATGACAAGCGGCCTGACCCGTGCGATGCTCCTCCTGCCTGGTGGAGCAGCGGCGAGGGCTGGGGCGCGGCGGAAGTGGCCGTCGCCGAGCTGTTCGAGCCGCGGGGCGCTGCGCCGCAGGGAACGAACAGCCGAGTCGCGCCGCTCCGGAGGAATATTTAGGACCGGGAGGGGAGGTGCAAAACTGTCGCGCAGAATACCTCGGCAATTTCCCTAGACGGGAGAACTTCAAACAAATGCCGCTGTGTAAATTAAAACGTGCGCGCGCGGGCGCGAGTGCTGGGGGGCGGGGGGCGGAAGGGAAGGTAATTTCCATTTATCCCCGCAACTTGGCGCGTGCTCTCGGGCGGCGCCGCTGCGATCGATAGCCGTGGGTTCCTCTTTGCCACGCTCTTCCAGATCGATTGCCCTTCAACCAACTACGATACAACAAACAAGAATTCCCTTTTATAAACAGAAGCCATCGAATAAAAATTGTCGAAGAATTAGAACACCATTATTGCACCACAATGAGAGTATTGCATCATTGCACGAAGGACGCAAATTGTTTCATAAACAAAATATAACTAGTTTATTATGCAAATTACATCGATATATTCAAGTGGAAGCAAATATTTTTGGTTGACATTTTTCTACCGAGTTACGTCAAATTTATTTTTTATAACATTAAATTTATTTTTGCTTTTCCCTACTGATTAACGTTTAATAAAGCGTGTCAGGAAATTTCAATGAAAGCATGATTAGTCTGCCTTTGGCATTCTCTGCCAACCCTTTCACTGAATGAAAATGTAATGTAAATGTAAATGTAAATATCATTCAAAACAATTCATAAAGGTTTCATTCCAAAACTATAACTTCTTGCATTACATCACATCGTTAAGTGACATGTAAGAGGCACAATGCATAATTTGAATAATCAAATGCACTTAGACGTTAATGCAAAGAAAGCGAAAATGGAACTCAGAGATTTAAGTTTCCTTGATAGACCCAGGGCAGTGTTATGCTTTCATCACTACTCCATTCTCTCGCGGAGCTGTGAACAACGGCTGCTCTCCTGTTCCCGTGTTAAACGAGATTGGATCTATGTAGTCTGCTTTGTGTTAATAAGCGAAGTCAAGAATGCGCCTCACGCAATCTCTGTTCTGCGCCTAACACAATGAATCTTCCTTTCACATGAACACGACGAGTTTCAATGGAAGCTAATCTGTTTATCCATGAGCAATCAGCTTTCAATCACGGTTTTAATGAATAGACAACGAATGAAAAAAGAATCCGTTATAATGAAATCGCCGGAAATTTAAGACAAACTCAAAAACAGGGAAAATTCGTTTTAGTGGTGAACTTTAAATAATAAAATAACATTCAAGACACAAATGTCATAGCGGAAAAACAGTTTCTATGCAGTTTTTTGCGAGCAAAAAAAAAAAAAAGAAAGAAAGAAAAGAAAGAAAGAAAGAAAAATATTTTCGCGAATTGATTCTGCACGTATAAACCTCTATTTCCGGAAGTCAATTAAATAAATAAAAAAAATTCTGGCTATCGAATGTTTCTGGTGAAATGCGATGGTGACGTTTCCGCTTCACCCGCAATAACATCGATAGGTGTGAAAACTTCCTTGAAGTCACCGAGGGAGCGCAAGTGCGGGAGTGCAGGAGAAGCGGCGAAGTATCAGCTCGGCCGGCGGTGCCCCCGCTCCGGAAGCGCGGCCGTCGGGCGTCGGCTGTTCCGGGAAGGCCGCCAGGGGGCGAAGGAGAGCAGCGCGAGGAGGAGGAGGGCGTATTGACGCGGCAAAAAGAGTCTCTGCAGATCAATATCGATTCGGCTAGCAGCTCCGAGGCCCACGACTGGCTGGCTGGCGGGCGGCGCGGGCGGGCGCCGCGAGTGGGTGAGGAGATAAGAGCCACCCGAGGAGGCGCGGCGCGGCGCGGCCAGGGCGGGCGACTAGCTCCCAGAGAGGCTGTCACACTAGCAGATGAAACGCAATTCCACCGAAGGCTGAGGCCGACCAAGTAATGGGAAAGGGGCTATACCAACGCGGACAGAGCTCCAAGGCCAGGCGGCGAAGAGACGGGGAGAGGAAGAATATTTCTACTTAGGGTAATGAAGGAAGAGGCGACGCGACGCCAAAGGAGGAATGGAGGGAGACGTGGCTTATGGGCGATGAGTCAGGAGGAGGAAGATAATGAGGACAGTTTCTGCCTCAGAGAAGACGGGATGGAATGGTGAAAAGTTGAGCCTGCGGGAAAGAAACAGCAGAAGTAGCTTGGTTGTGGTAATGCGGGTGAACAACGTCTTATCGATATAGAGAATAATTCCGGTTTTGACAGTAGTGTCGACGGTTAGTGCAGGAATGGTCCGAAACCGGAAAAATGTTCTCACCCAGAGCAAGAGCCAGTGGCATTAGAATGAGAAGAAAGGGAGAGAAAAGACCGATATGCGGGAAAATCTCCGGGTCGCCCCAGGCGGTGAGTGGCAAATCGCCAAATCTTGGTTTTTGGCCCGCGAAGAAGCGCAGGCAAAGAGGCTTTCCAAGAATGAAGTCCTTCCAAGACAAACTGTCCTAAAGCACGGCGCAGGCTGAAACAGAACCGCGTTACTACGACGCGAGGAGGGATATTCCCGTTCTCAACACAGTGGCAAAGGTCACCAGCGTTACCCCGGAAATAGAGGAATAGCTGGAACCAACGAGGACACAGAATGACGGGCAGGGCGGCATTTCTGCTCCCGAGCTCCGATCGCAGTGGATGTTGTTGGAAGGCTGCCGGTGTGTGTGTGTGTGGGGGGGGGGGAGTCAGCTTGACTGTACGAGCGGAGAGTACTCAGAGTGGCGAGGAGACAAGTGCTCGGTAGTCGTCGCGGGCACCAAACGCCGCGCAAAAGAGGGCGGCAAAGAGGAAGAAAAAGCAAGTTGGCGAGATGGAAAGGGAGTAACCACTGCAGCGCCCGTTCCCCTCTTGTTTACGACATAAACAGCGCACACAAGTGCAGCGGACTTCTCCGCGCGCGAGGACTGAGAAAGGTTTACCCAAGAAGAAATCCATCCGCCCTTCATGCGAAGGCCGCGAGTAAACACCGCAGGAGTTTTGTTTTGCTTGAGATTCTCTGTGTGGATGAAATGGAATCGTGATAAAACAAGTCGAGTGGTAAGATCGAGTTTTACGGTCGATTCTCGGAAGGAGCAGAGAATTCGAAGAAAGTCTTAGACACACCGCCTTCTGAGAAGAGGGGCACTATGAAAGTGAATTACAACACTCTTCAAATCTTCGGAAATGTCACCCTGGTACCCAAATTAACATATATTCGCAATGCCGCGAAACCTTTCGAAGCGCCCCGAACCACGCCGGAAAGTCATATGATCTGTCGGTACATTCTACTGTACTTCTGATTAATGACCATTGTTTACTTGAGAGCCATTACAATCAATTAACATTGAAATAAGTTCATACAGATATAAAATGAAGAAAATACCGCCTATATTTTCAATATTGCAAATAATGTCAAACCGCAGAAAATATAATTCCGCAGAAAAGACGTGAAAAAACGATTGATCTCGCACACTAGCCAACTACGAAGACCGTTGCTGCATAACAGTTAATCGAACCCGAACAAACAATAGCCGTTTCTAGGGGCATAATGGTGTATATTTACTTGAAAGAAAGCAAAAGTATTCGAATGTTCAGATCATTAATGAAGCAATTATTTGAATAATGCACGAGAATTTTTTGTATAATCGTGTGTCGTATAGTTCTCAACGGCTGCGCTTATCTACAAAACAGACTGTTTGAATTAGCGAATGCCGGTGTTCAAGTACGAGGTATTCGCAATCTCGCTTGGGAGTTGGCAGCGTTGGTGGGAACTCGGAGCAAACAACGTCGCCGTGTCAGGTAGGTCGCGCCACCGTCTTCGTCTCTCGCCGCCCCGTCTGTCACCAGCGTTACCGCCTCCGCCATCCTCGATGTGCAGCGGCAGCCCCTCGACCTACGCGTCGCCCAGGAACGTCACTTCCGCTAACGAGTGTCAAGTGCTTCTGTACGCAGACAGCGCCGCGTCACGGGCCGCGAGCTCAGCGCGCACAGCGGCGCGACAACGAAGTCTGCTGGCGCTAATGCTCTACTCCAAAGCCCAGCGCGCGCTCCAGGCAGAGGGCACGATGGGGCACGCGAGGAGTTACGGTTCATGAGCTGTTTTATGCGATTTTCTTTGTTTTTGTTTTGTTTTCGGAAGATGTTAGATACATTTTAAAAATAAACAAATAAAGAAATAATTGTGAGTGAAAAATGTTGATGATTTCTTCTCACTAGATATTCCACAAATTACTCATATCTCCTTGATTCAAATTAGTACATCAGTACTGAAATGCATATTAACATTAAACAACATGACATGATTGATATCATGTCTTGATATCGAAGTTTCAAAAGATATTTCGAAATTATGTCTCAAGTAAAATAATCCTTTTCATAGTTTTCTATTCATTGATTAACCATTATGGGGAGTATTATCAAACACTTCTCACGAAAATATGAGCTTCACTCCATCACTCAAATTACTATTACGCGTTTTCAATTCAAAATCTCCAAATCTACTAGTTTGTTTTATTTTAGCGCGAAGAAAAATGCCATACGAAAATCTCATTTTCAACGACTTCCTTTTTTAAATCGCAAATATCGTTATATGTAGCTGCATTTTGCGTAATCTGTTTACATCACTGTGCGTGACACCGCAACTCGAATACATTTGCGTGCTAATTCAATGTTGCAGCGATGAACACTAGTTTAGTCTCATGTGCGACCATTAATATTGTGGGAGCTCCCACGAAAACGCGACCACGCGTGTAGAAGCGCCGAGCTTGGAGGAAATAGTTATCAAACTAACTTGTTTCCGATACTTCTAATTCCTTCCCTACGTTCAATTTCTTTAATATTTCCTCCCGTAATGTGTCCGATATTGCTCGTTCCTCCATTCCGCGGAAAGCACAAGAGGTCTCACAAGCTTTAAAAATAGGAAGGGGTGGGGGGAGGGGAGGGAGATATTGTGGAGCGTCATCTGAAAGCGAATGGCCCCTCCAGACGGGGCAGCTTCATCGAGAAAGGCCCTTTGAGCGGCGGAGGAGCCACTTCCCCACCCCCGCCACCGCCACCGCCACCGCCACCGCCCAAGTGAGCCGCAACGCGCGCTTACGAACAATCGGTAATTCCAAGTCAGAACCTCAACGAACGAAAGCTGAAAATTATTAGAATATAAAAACGATTTGAAAAAAATAATCATCTCTCTTCTACGACTGTTCTCAAGGTAATAGATGTTAAGCTAATTTACAGTTTCACACAAATTTAAGATACACCCAAGATTAGTTGCATTAAGAGACAATAGTCTTTAACAAACTCAACAAAATTTTATGACCCGCAAATGTAAGTTTGAAAGGACACTGCATGTCTATTAACACTTCCATCTCCAAAAGTATTCATTTCCTTCAAGATATTCTACCGAGAGGCACTCAAGGTCTTCAAGCACGTTTTACATTTTTTTTATTCCTTCTGCGCAACTCTTCTCCCACTCAGTGTGCGCCGCCTCCCCGGAGGGCGATCTGGGGCGGAGGCGGAGGCGGAGGCGGAGACGCCGCCCGCAGGCAGGGCCCAGCCCCACCCCGCTCCGCCCCGCCCCGCCCCGCCCCGCGGCGCTCCGTTCGATGCTCGCCAGCCGGGATTTCCCGTCTTCCGGCCTCAGGCGAAAACTCTCCTTCCGTGCCCCGGCCCGTTCGATAACTCCCATGTGGATATATGGCACGTAGCCTACCTCCCCCTTGTTTGAGAGCTAGTGGGAGCTATCACAGCGCTTATTACGTAAAAAAAAAAGTTTCCTCTCAAAAATTGTAATAATATACGAGAGACAAACTGTTGTATATTACATCCCAACGTAATTTCATTTCGTAAATTATACAATTACAAGTTTCAAAAGAAATACTATAATTGTCACTTTCCAAGAATATTCAAATATTTGTACACATTTAATTTAACATACGCGCTGAAATAAATTGCTTTAACTTTATGGATAAACATTGTGTTCGAGAGAGAAAATAAAAACCAAACGTTCTGCCAAAAAAGTTATATTATTTTTCCAAGTGTGTTTGAGGCAGATAATATATATCTACAAGTAAAATCTCACTTGCAACACAAATAAAGCAATAGTTTGTTTTCACTAAACGTATTTACCTTCTAAAAATCAGTTCACAGTTCATCATGATAGTAGAATTTACACTTGACTCAGTGAACGAAGTTACTACATAATAAGTTCCGACTTTCATTCATCAATAGACTACTCAGATCTAAACTGTAATTTCAAACAGAGAATCATTTACTATCCTCTTCGTGGCGTGTCTTGAATTGCGCTCTGGGAACCACATACATTCTCTCAGAGGTGGCATAATGAACGCTAATTCCGCAGAACTCGACGAAAAGAAAGGAAACAACACAGCAAGGCGAAAGTACAAGCGAATGTGAGACGGGGCCTGCTTTGCGGCGCGGCGCGAGTTTCCCTGCGTTCATTCGTGGCCGTTTTGTCCCACTTGCACACTGCGGCAGCGGAGTCGCTGCGCTCCGCAGGCGCCGCGCCGCGCACAGCCGCGAGAGGAGACCGCGCACAGCCGCACGGCGCGGGCGGCGCCGCTTTCGCCCGCGAAGCGATGGGGCGCGGCGGCGGCGGCGGTTTCGACGTGCCTGCATGCCTTCATGGCATCGCCTAACTCCAAAACATCAAATCATCAATTTCAGAATCTAAAGTGGGACTTATTATTAAATTAGATATTTTTACCTTATATTCCTTGCAAAATTTGAAAAAGAATTTCGTTTTAGTCTGTTAATTGTTTTCGGGATCACCGAGTTCCGAAGCACAGAAAAATATATTCTTCATTTTGGCTTCTCGAATCAAATTGGCAATGAAACTAAAATATTAAAATAGAATTGTATTTCTATTTTATTTCATTATAAAATATTCATACGAAAAATGCTGATTATTTA